ATAATATTATTATATTAATTTTTCAACAATATTTTTTAAGGTACTCCTCCTAAATACGCTAGTTCTTCAATAAACCTTAATGAAAAATAAAACTGTCAAAAATATGATATTGAAATAATTTTTAAACAAACAAAACGATCATGTACAGAACAGATTACAATTTTCAGTACCCGTAAAAACTGTATCAAATCAACACGAAGGCCAAACGTGTGTTAACAAATTGCTACAAATTTACAATTCCGTAACCACACTGATTTAATGAAAATACTTCATTGCTGTTCTTACTCCAAATTCTTGAAGATTTAGAAATATTCGAAGGATTTAAATAGTGCATTATTATTTTATAAGATACAAATATTGACAAATACTTGTCGTGATTCGCATTGTTGAGACGATCGACAAAATTTGCATGGCTGAACCGAGTCTTATCAGACGCTCATTTCTCGGGCCAGGCACTCGCACATGCGCGATAATTTAAATACTGTTTACCATGTGACACTTGCGCCCAGCAAGTTCCTACGTGACACTTGGCCAAACAAGTAAGTGTTGTCTACACGCAGTCAAATGCCACATGGAATTGAACCGATCTCTTCAAATATACCCCGACTACGAATCTGAGCATCTTATCACTTTCTTTACAGAAAGTTTTCTAATGATCCTTACAAAATCGTAGATCGACAGTGAGAATCATTTAAAAAATTGTTCTAAAGCGACAGCAATTTCATCCCTAATTCAACAAATTATTTGAGTTAATCTAATGCAACTCTCTCTCTCTCTCTCTCTCTCTCTATATATATATATATATATATATATCTTCTGAAATTATTATTTACGAGATTAATGAAGCTTTCTTCACATAAAGTTCCGACAAAATGTTCATTAACCTCTTGCACGACGATTTCTTTCACAGCTACGTTGATTAGTACATGTTTGTTCCCAATAATTTCCTTAATGGAACGAGACAATTTTTGTTTCTTGTATGCCTTCACTTTCGTTCCTACCGAAGGACGGAACAACATTCATATTTAATAGATTATGTACGAAATGTTCATTCCTGGTGTAACTCGATGTTATAGTCCAAGGGATTAACAGGATTATGGTAAATAAAATTATGCAACAAATAATATGTTATAGTGCGATGTTAACGAGATTACCACTATCCCAACGAATCGGAAAAATTAGATAAAAACAAAGCAATTTAACGAATTAAATACGAATTAAACGAAACAAATATGTACCAAAAAGTTGAAGAAAGAAGAAATTTACACAAATTTGTGAAGGTTAGAGCATGGTAACTTCAGTGTCATTTCTTTAAAAAAGGGTTAATGAGATACGAAGGTCAACTTGGTCTTTTTAAATGGCATGCTGTATCTTATTTGTCCGTGGACGATAATGACCACTTTAAAAGTGAATTTAAAGATCCACAATAAAAAGTGCAGCGACGTCGCTAATGGTTGTACAAATATGTTAACAATAATACATCTCTGTTGTAAATTGAACATAAAATTATCGATAAAATTCTGTGTGCACTGTCTTAAGCGTCCATAAAATGTTTATTATCGCAGGCAGACGAATTTATCTTGAAAGCGGCTATTATGCACAAGCAAATGTAATATATCACTAAGAAAAGTCGAAGTTTTCCTTTTAATTATTGTAGAAGACATCTTTACGGAATTTTCAATCTCGTGCCAACTTATACGGAACAGCCTGGATACTTGAACAATTTTCAAATAAATTTTCAGAATTCAAAATAGAGATCTACCTCGATTCCGTCTGTAACTCGATAAGACCACGATCGAAGGGGCTTTTAAGCGATCGAGGAAATAGCCCGCAGCAGCGTTCAACATTTCTGAGGTGTCGATGGNCTCTCTCTCTCTCTCTCTCTCTCTATATATATATATATATATATATATCTTCTGAAATTATTATTTACGAGATTAATGAAGCTTTCTTCACATAAAGTTCCGACAAAATGTTCATTAACCTCTTGCACGACGATTTCTTTCACAGCTACGTTGATTAGTACATGTTTGTTCCCAATAATTTCCTTAATGGAACGAGACAATTTTTGTTTCTTGTATGCCTTCACTTTCGTTCCTACCGAAGGACGGAACAACATTCATATTTAATAGATTATGTACGAAATGTTCATTCCTGGTGTAACTCGATGTTATAGTCCAAGGGATTAACAGGATTATGGTAAATAAAATTATGCAACAAATAATATGTTATAGTGCGATGTTAACGAGATTACCACTATCCCAACGAATCGGAAAAATTAGATAAAAACAAAGCAATTTAACGAATTAAATACGAATTAAACGAAACAAATATGTACCAAAAAGTTGAAGAAAGAAGAAATTTACACAAATTTGTGAAGGTTAGAGCATGGTAACTTCAGTGTCATTTCTTTAAAAAAGGGTTAATGAGATACGAAGGTCAACTTGGTCTTTTTAAATGGCATGCTGTATCTTATTTGTCCGTGGACGATAATGACCACTTTAAAAGTGAATTTAAAGATCCACAATAAAAAGTGCAGCGACGTCGCTAATGGTTGTACAAATATGTTAACAATAATACATCTCTGTTGTAAATTGAACATAAAATTATCGATAAAATTCTGTGTGCACTGTCTTAAGCGTCCATAAAATGTTTATTATCGCAGGCAGACGAATTTATCTTGAAAGCGGCTATTATGCACAAGCAAATGTAATATATCACTAAGAAAAGTCGAAGTTTTCCTTTTAATTATTGTAGAAGACATCTTTACGGAATTTTCAATCTCGTGCCAACTTATACGGAACAGCCTGGATACTTGAACAATTTTCAAATAAATTTTCAGAATTCAAAATAGAGATCTACCTCGATTCCGTCTGTAACTCGATAAGACCACGATCGAAGGGGCTTTTAAGCGATCGAGGAAATAGCCCGCAGCAGCGTTCAACATTTCTGAGGTGTCGATGGCTCGTCCGGCAGAGCAGATCGCTAAGTAACCCCAGGAATAGTAACCGCGCCTTTTAAACTAATTTATGTTTATATCATTCCCAGCTTTCTAGCCAACGTCCGCGATCCCTTTGCCTCGTCAATATCAACACGAATTCGCATCCACGACTATCGACGGAACAGCTGGGAGCAAACAAATCGACAGAGAATCGTCGGGGAATCGGCGAACGCTGATACTCGAAATAACAAGCCGAGTTATTTATTGGGAAAGGAACGCGACGACGCGACGGCTAAAATATAAAGTGAGATACAGGGTGTGGAGCAACCAACCGGCGCTAATAAAGTAGCCGTTGCTACGCTTTCCACCGACTTTCTTTCTCAAAATATCAAAGTGGTGAGTTTGACTGACTCCGTTCTAGCAAAACAAAGTACGCGTCTGTCAGTATTAATAACGGTAGGGGAACTGTAGCAAAATATAAACAATGCCTGCTTGAAAAGTGTCCAAGAGAGCCCGAGTAGCGGCAGAGCCGGGATTTGGCTGGGACCGACAAAATAACGTTTCGCATAATTTCGGGGGCCGAGGGAGCTCGTCGTTCAACTGTCAACACCTAGTTTAACAGAAAACTTCGAACCGTCTCGTCGGATCTCACAAAGGGCGGGCCGAGCTTAGGCAGGGTGACTATTTGCGCGCCGGGTCGCAGAGATGTCTCGCGCATTACGATTTAAACGACCATCCATTATAGATCACAGACCGTAATTGCCCCAGTCGGGTGCGTGCACGCTTCGTCTCTAGGCCCTGGACATGCCCGATCGATAAATATACCACCTATTTCCGGCATCCTTTAATTCCACTCCGGGTGTCCCTAAGTCGCTATTATCCTATTTTCCTCGATCGGTCTGCACCCAGACACCCAGAGGTGCATCCGAGGTGCATGCTCGTAGCCCGCGGCCGCTTTTCTAATGACTCCGTTATTAACCGTCCCCTAACCCGACCAGACGTATTTGTCGCCTGTCCGGCCTTTTTTTCCATCGCCGCGAATCCTCCCTTCGTACACCATCGAATTTGCATTGATTCCGGGGAATGCGCGCGGTTTTCGACGGCCCTGGGCGGCTCAACTGCATGCCGATCGATTGCGTGCGGTAGAGATTTTCGAGAACGATTCTACGGGACAGAACAAGGCAGACGCCGGGAACCGACGGAATGGCGGTAAAGATTTCGAATTATTCGAAATCTCCGGTCAGCCAATGGCTGCACGCGGTAATAGATGGATAGTGACGTATCGTGCGAAGATGAGAGACGGAGACGTAATTCGCGCACCGACGTCTGCAGACTTAACTTCAATTTCGTCTTTAATTACTTCGTCATTTTATATCTTTAATTATTTCGTAGTTCCATCTTCAATCACTTCATCGTTTTATATTCTTAACCATTCCCGTTGTTTCGTATCCTTAATTATTTCGTCGTTCTATATTTTCAATTATTCGGTACACAATCGAGCACTCTCCTAATAATCGATCGAATGAAACGAAAATGCTCGGTCGAATGAGTCCTATTCCGAATCATTCTCCATTTCAAATTCGATATGTCATTGTGCAGGACGGGCAAAGTAAGCAGTACGGTTCAAACGCCATGTGCACTCTGATAGAAAACACCGACAACGGTGAAGAGAACCGGGTCGATTTACCTGGGCACGTCGTAGAAACTGGCACGCAATTTCAGCTCGATTCACCGTCGATTAAAAGGTTCGCGCGAATCACCGTTTTAACTATTCCGTACCAGGATTCCATTATCCATTCGCGTCGTAATTGCACCGCTTCGAAAACGATCTTCGCCCCGATCAGGTGAGCACGTTTTCGCGGCGAGAAGAAGCATTGAAACCACATTCAGCTCAAGGTCTGACTCGTCGATCTCTCGTGACAGCCGCCGCGGACGTTCGACGCTTTGACAAGCGAACGATCGAAATCTTTGGAAAACCGGCTCCGCGGAAAACGGAGGCTAAACGGAACGGAAACGCGTTACAGACGATCAATGATAGAGATTGAAGGTGTTTTCCTACCTTTGAGAAAAGTTGCCTCGGCGGGACGTCGGGTAATCCACTGGCGGGCAGGGGGTAGAAATCCACAAACAGCACAGCCCGGTGGTCGCAAATGCTCTCGTGTCCACCAACAATAATTCGTACGCACTGTGATCGTTCGTCGCCGGTGCGCGGTTTACACGAGGCGGATGAAAACGCGGGAGAGAAGCACTGTGAGGTTTTCGGTACACGGGAAATTAAAACAGAAGTAGGGACAGAGATAGAGAAAGAGAGAAAAAGAGAGAGAAAGAGAGAGAGAAGTTCACGCAGTCGACTCCTATTAGAACGGAGCGGATCGTCGCAGACAACGCATCAACGATCGGAGACGAGCGGAGGAAACCAACTGAACCGGCTCACCGTGAGGGACTGACGATGCTGTTCGATTGCAGTGCGCTCGTTCCGCAGACTCTCGGGGTTCGGTTCTCGACGCGACCGCTCGACGCCGCTCGACGCCGTTCGACGTCGCTCGACTACCTCCGGCAAGCTTCGACCTTTCTCGAGTCCTGGCTCCGAGTTCCAGAGAGAACATAGACCGGCCTCAGGCTTGGCAACCTCGACGAACTTTTGCTCGGGTCGAGGCCGTGACGAGCGTTTCTGTTTTCGTGCTGGAATTAAAGAGCCCCAAACGGATCAGTCCAATGATAACGCACAATGTAACCCCCACCGCTTCCTCTACCGATCCACTGTTACGCAACCGATCGACCTCGTTCCAACGGAACCCAGGTAATGATATTAGGGGTACAAACCTATACACGCTGGTGGACAAAATGATACGGTACTTCAAGATTTTCGGAGTGAACATTTTTTTGTATACAATATTGTCCGGCGTACGAAGTATTTATTCGTACAGTGTTTGAAACGGAAGAACTTTTTTATAATTCAGTCAAGAGATTTAAGTTTTTTTGGGATGTAAGAAAGATTTTGTTTGCTGGACAATGACTAAAACATTGTTTTCAAAAATTGCGATTGGTTAACGTGATAAAAGAATTAAAGTAGAATGTTTTTACAATTGTTTTATTTGAGTTTCGATGACGAAAATTTAAAGAATTCATTTTGTGGATCTCGGCAACTTAATATACACGCTAGAACTTACTGAAACATTGGAACTTACAGTCATTGGAATATGTAAAAATTATTTGGTTTTGGTTGAAAATAGTGAAAAACTGCGATTTTCGCGATCTTTTATTGTTTACAATTCGTGTCAAGGTCATCCGATTTCAATGAAATCTTCAGCATGCACATTAGTTACTGAGACTTACAAAATGCATTTTTAAAATTTTTCACCTTATAGGCTCAGATGAAAAAGTTGGAAACATCATTTTTTAATTCTTTTATTATACCAATAAATTGTTAAAGTCTCTCATTTATGGTGTACTTATGGTGTAATTTGAGTGTACCGTTATAAAATAGGAGGCCAAATTGTGAATAAAGTCTGTATTAGAGATTTGATGGTGTTTTTTAAAAGGGTAACAATGTCATAAATGCTATTAATGTTGTACATCCTAGTACGTTGGATATTAGAACGTGTCAGCGTTGCTTTAAAAAATGATAAACCGGTGGTTTCGATTTTTATGACGGATTAAATCTTGATATTCCACTGAATTCGACAAAGATAAAAGTAAAAGATAACGTCATTACTTATGGATACCCTTACTCTAACACAGTGACATGCTTTTTTACATAAATTTTGCTGTGTATCTCGTTTAGATATGAAGTAAAATAAGAAATGATTTTATAGGGTGGATTCTATAGACTGAAATAATACAATATTATATTAGAAATTATGAATGTAAAAAACATTGAAAATGTGGAAATATCACTGGTATGCTTGCTTTGGTCCGACAGTGTATGAAAAGAATTGTTATTTCTATAGGCTAATTGTTCATTTAATAAAGAATTATAGAACACAATTTAAGGAACAAATAAAGTGCGTTTAATGCAGCCTAACTTTCTGGACAAGGCTGCAAATATGGAGGAATATTTGTTGAGAGAATAAATACAATTATTTATACTTTTGAATAAAAGTACTTTTATGTTGTGCAAATTCGGTCCTAGTAACAAAGTGGCTGTAATTGAAAGCATACCAATTGATATTTAATTTTATTCATCATATGAATAATATGTGTTAAATTAAATATACGGAAGATTTATTACGGGAAGTTAAATATTTAATACTTATAATGGATAATTAAATAATGTATGTACACAAGACAACGAAACAAAGCAGGGATGGGTAACACAGAATGATTATTATATTAATGATCAATACAAATAATTAATTATATTTAAATTTTCCTCATAAAATATTTAACAAAACATACGAATGTTATTTATATTGTTATCTACTCCAAAATATAATACTGTAAGCAATATTTTCATTCGTTCAGTATTTTTATTTTGGAACTGTTACAGTTTAGAATTAAAAATTGAATTAAATTTTATTTCAAGACTGTGCAACTATATTCATACATTTCCGATCCACAAACCACACTATTATTTGGAAAGTTTTCTTTCGTATAATGCATTATTTGTCAATTATGGCAAAGCAATTTTATTCAAACAAGACAAAGTTTTGACAGTAAACACGCAATCTCGAAGACAATCTCTGACTAAATATTTGTCACTTCAGATGGAATTTAATCTTTGATAGTGGCCATATAATGATAAGTTTCTTAGGCAGCCATGTTTGCTCTTGCAGATAAATAGTAAGGCCATCGGTCTAGAACTTCGCCCTTTGACCATGCTCAAACGCAATTCACTTGTTTACTTCTGAATCGAAGCTTTTTGTAATTGATCCTGTGCTCAGTCATAAGTCAAGGAAATTCTAAGTCTAACTCTAACGTAATTGTTGATTAATACAAAAAAAATATTCTAGAAAGATATCAACATAGAATACAGTATAAGACAAATAATACATCGCAATCTAACAAAATGTGATTTGCAAAACAATTGACATTTTTGCATTTATGATAATTAAACTCAAATGCGTATGCACTTACAGAATATGCGCGGATGTTCAAAGTTCAACAAAATAAGTGCTGCAATAATCTCATAATGTTTATATTATATTGAATATACTGCAATTTTCTGAAATAAACGTGCAATGCAAANTGAATGAAAAGGAATCAAATTATTTTTAAGTGGAAGAAAATAACTGCAAGGTTTAATTTATTTCATCACAATATTTTCTTATACATAGGAGGACCGCTGTAAAAAGTGTACTTAAACAAAATTTAATAAATTAAATGTAGAACGTAAAGTTACATTATTGAATGAAAAGGAATCAAATTATTTTAAAGTGGAAGAAAATAACTGCAAGGTTTAATTTATTTCATCACAATATTTTCTTATACATAGGAGGACCGCTGTAAAAAGTGTACTTAAACAAAATTTAATAAATTAAATGTAGAACGTAAAGTTACATTATTGAATGAAAAGGAATCAAATTATTTTAAAGTGGAAGAAAATAACTGCAAGGTTTAATTTATTTCATCACAATATTTTCTTATACATAGGAGGACCGCTGTAAAAAGTGTATTTAAACAAAATTTAATAAATTAAATGTAGAACGTAAAGTTACATTATTGAATGAAAAGGAATCAAATTATTTTAAAGTGGAAGAAAATAACTGCAAGGTTTAATTTATTTCATCACAATATTTTCTTATACATAGGAGGACCGCTGGAAAAAGTGTATTTAAACAAAATTTAATAAATTAAATGTAGAACGTAAAGTTAAATTATTGAATGAAAAAGAATCAAATTATTTTTAAGTGGAAGAAAATAACTGCAAGGTTTAATTTATTTCATCACAATATTTTCTTATACATAGGAGGACCGCTGTAAAAAGTGTACTTAAACAAAATTTAATAAATTAAATGTAGAACGTAAAGTTAAATTATTGAATGAAAAGGAATCAAATTATTTTTAAGTGGAAGAAAATAACTGCAAGGTTTAATTTATTTCATCACAATATTTTCTTATACATAGGAGGACCGCTGTAAAAAGTGTACTTAAACAAAATTTAATAAATTAAATGTAGAACGTAAAGTTAAATTATTGAATGAAAAGGAATCAAATTATTTTTAAGTGGAANCAATAATATTAAAAATAAAGTAAAACATAAATATGTAACAATATTGCAGTTTTCTCTGCACGAGAAGGAGCATTTACCTAGCACAGATCTTCAGTAAAGGCATATTCTACTCTGACGTGATAGTAATCCCGTGCCCAATAAAATCCATTGACTAATACTAATGATATTCATTACGAGCTACTAAGATGTTTTACACAAACAATTCGATTACTCCAATTTCGCCTGTAGCAATCTGAAATAATTATGATTGCTCCAATTACTCATTATCTTTCCTTATAAATGAATTATCGGTGAATATGCCGAAAGGCATGCGATCTAACGGACCAAGGTTCATACGGCGTACAGCTTGGAAATATACGGTACGAGTCTCGGAAGATGGCTACTTTGCATTCAATACGCGAACACGTGTTGGTGGCTGCGAAATTGCGTCGGATGAAACCGGTAGCAATATAAAGCGATTCCTCTCCGTTCTCCTAATAATAGAGTAGACCAGCGATGCGTTGCTTCCAGATTAAATGCTGTCTAGCATCTGAAAAGAGCCAAGGTCAGGATATTCCCGAGATTGAACCGCAAACGCGGGATTTGGTATTTAATTCGGTATATAATTCCGTGGATTGGTATAGGCCCTGCACATATCACTATAGGGCGTTACCTCTGCAGGAAGAGGAAATGAGGAAGAAGCACTCCAACTATAATGAACATCCTGAGTCGCAATTCGATCGCTGCGCCAGATTGCTCGTATGCATAGAAAAAATCGATGAGGGCTTCGTAGCACCGATTATCATCTTTATTCCCCGGATTTAACAATGATAACGGAATTTGGTTAGCAAAGCTGACAAGAATAATATTAAATTATTCGTCATATCAAGGTACTAGAATTTATTCGATAGTAACCCTTGGACGATGGACTTGCTTTAACAACTATACATTTCACGATGATGATAATTGTGGATTTTATGCATTTGTAACAACAATGACTACTAAACTGTTAGATCATTAGACAAATTTAAAGATATTATTACATTATTTTCAAGTTACTACAATTATGAATCTTCGGACTGCGGTTACAGGCTCATTTTGACCCGGTATACTTTTAATCGTCTTTTAATTACTCAATTCACAGAAATTAAATTCCATACTAGGAACAACAGAAAGAAGAATCTTCAAAAATATGTTTTGAAAAATTGATGAATACAGCTGAGAATAATTATAATCATCCTCAATTGTATAGTTGTTAAAATTCATTCAGGTTCATCGTCCTAGCAAGAAAGACGTTTTCATCAGGCTTTTGTTTTTTACAATTAACTTCGATAATTTTTATTTTGTATAAAGATCCGCAATCTATTTATAACCATTCTCAGCTTTATTCATGAA